TCAGGAGTGGGGGATAAGAGGCTTGATTGTACACTGTCCCGCTTTTAAGCCAGGGTTGCACTGACAACATCTTCCTCCAGGATATTCATTCATGTGGATATCAGGTTAAACTCTTCCAGAAACATCTCTAGACTCCCTCCACTGCACCCAGTTTTGTTTTCCTCTCCAAAAGTGCTGACTCTGGAAGAGTTCAGGCAGATCCATGCTTAATGCATTTCATTCAAGCCTCTGCTCATCAGAGCTCCACTGTAGGAATTTAAACCAGCTCCTCCCCGCGTCACCATCAATCAGAAGTAAAAGCAAGCGTCAGTAGTTGTCTTAGGTACCAGGTTAAAAAAAAAAAAAAAACCTTTCTGGAAAAGAGTCCCTGCCTGTGGCAATGGTAATGAGCACTCTAAGCAATGGAAGATCTCTTGCAGGGAATAGGTGCCTTCACACCCTCTCTCTAAAAATCCAATTCTTCCTCCAATGAATTCATGATAGCCTGTGGTTTCTTTCTCCCACATGCACACATACAAATCTTGTCTATACAACGATCCTGTGAGGTGGGCCAGAATAAAAAATGCAGGATGCTCCCAGGTCCACAAATAAGGTTCATGACTGAGAGGGAGAGACAAACTCAGGCCTCCTTGATTGAAATAGAACAGCCTGTCTCAAGGATGTTGAACAAATTTTAGCCCAAAGGCCAAAGCCAATTTTAGAAAGGAGCTTGTGGGAGGAGAAGGTGGCCAAAATACCTAAAATGATCAACATATTTTATCTTCGGATCTTCCTGCCAGGAGAGATCTTCCTTAGAAGAAGCATTTCAATATCTAAGAATGGAGGAAAATGCAGGACGTAAACAGGGAAACCAACAAATGACCAATGGTTAGGAAAAGGGTGTGAGAGTAAGGAAGGAGGCATGGACTGGGGGGGACCTGAGATGCCATCACTTGCTCTGCCCTCTAGAACAGGGGTCCCCAACCCCTGTGCCTCGAGCTAGCTCCAGTCCATGGCCTGTTAGGAACTGGGCCACACAGCGGAAGATGGGGGCGGGCAAGCGAGCAAAGCCCCACTCACAGCCGCTCCCCAGCGCCAGCACCACCACCCCAGACCACCCAGAACCAGGGCTGCAGAAGGAGCACGCAGCTCAGATCTCCTGTTCCTCCTCTCCAGTCTACAGTGGGGCTCACGCTTTCACAGGAGCAGGAGCCTCCTGGCCAGGAAGGGGCATGCGGAGGTGCACAGCCGGTTCCTGCAACACCGAACAGGGGGCGATGGTGGCAGAGGATGAGGGGACCCATTCCCGCTGCTCTGGCTCTCAAGGGGCACCTGCTCTGTCAGATGAAATGCCATGGCAGGGCATGCGCCACGAACCCAAGAGCCACCCAAGGACACCAGCAAAGCACAGGCCGCCATTCACCAGGGGAAGCGCCATGTACCACTCACAGGCAGATGGGCAGGGGCTGCCTTGAATCACTGGGGCTGGTGGGGAGCACAGCACTCTTACCGGGTCCTGATGAGGAGCACCGCCAGCGCTCTTCATAGGAGTGCAAACCCCACTGCAAGCCCCGCATGTGAGGGATCCAGGCCATGCGCTCCCACAAGGATCCAATGCGTGATGATCCAAGGTGGAGCTGAGGCAGTGACACCAGTTCTGGGGAGCAGCCAGAAACACAGACAAGGCCTTGCTCACCTGCCTGCCTGCCTGCCTCCCACCCACCCCCACCGTGCGCCCTGGCTCCTAACACTGATTCTGCACTATACTGAGTTGTGAGTTATAGTACATTATTATATAGTGAGCTGTAGTATATTATTTCATTATATATCACAATGTAATAACAATAGAAATAAATGCACAATAAATGCAATGTGCCTGAATAATCCCGAAACCATCCCTGCCCCCAGTCCATGGAAAAATGGTCTTCCACAAAACCGGTCTCTGGTGCCAAAGAGGTTGGGGATCACTGCTCTAGAACACGCTGGTTCTCCATGAATGATGAGAAAGAGGGGGTCCTAACACAAGAAACCACTGGACATTTATGCTGTCTTTCCCCCCACTAACTTAGGGGTTTGGGCTTTTTGGTTTTTTGGTTTTTTGGAGAGAAAACAATGAAAGAAGAAGTGGAAAAGCACAGGAAGGTTGTATGTGGAGTTGCATCTGCCACCAGAACATTGTGTGGATCAGGCAGAGCCATGGCAAGTTTTAAAGCCTTGTCTAGAAGCAATAGTGATCCAGCTACTGCTCTTGGCTGCTTTCCAAAAGTGCTTTTCCCTACAAGTACTTTGTTCAGATGTCTGTTTGTTCATTTGGCCCTCTGACAGCAGGATGGTGGGCAGAGAGAGGGAAGGAGGCAGAAAGTGTGAGGGAGAGAGAAAGGAGAGTTCAGACCTCATGCAGCCTAGCTTTGGCGCCATTCAACACCAGAATGGCCCCTCCCCAACAGATCACCCCCACAGGAAAGAGGCCCACAGCAGAAAATAGATTCCCCACGTCTGATCTATCACCAGAGATCACACTCTTTTCAAAAAGGGATCTTCTGTCCCATACTGAAACCCAAGTTTCTTGAAACCTCTTTGGTTTCCAAAGAATTTACTTTCCAAGAGCTGTCAACTTCATTTATACCCCAAGGAGTTCAGGATAGCATGTGCAAGTCCAGACACTGACCGGCCTGGGGGTGTCCAGTTGAGCTTCATGACTGAGAGGGAATTTGAACTCTGACCTTCCCTTTGCCACTTCGATGCTGGAAGCTTTACACCACACAGCCTCGAGGCAACCACATTGCAGCCCTTCTGGAAGAGGAGCTTATAAAAAGCCCCTCACACCATTTACCTGAGCTCGATACAAGCACCCTCGTGTGCACACTACAAAGGAGATTTGTATATTGGAAAAGTTGGCTGGGTTCTACTGCCAGGCCCCAGCCAAGACAGAAATTAGGTATGATTAGTAAAAACTGGTGTTGGCCAGCAACATTGGCAGTTTTTTAAAACAGGTATTTTGGTAAGAGCTCGTTAGGGGACTGCAATTAAAACAACAACTTTCTGAGGCACTGAACTGCTCCAAGGGCACCCAGAATTGTCTCTATCTGATCTGGATAGTCTTTTTTATTTTAGCTTCCCAGTCCACATTGCCACCTCCACAAACAGAACAAAGCAACAATTGTTGGAGATACCCTAATAAAAGTGATAAGTTTTATACTTTAGAATATAGAAAACTTTGCCTGTTTTTTCTTGCTCTGTGCTGCTCCAATCTGTAGGGTTTTTCCATCCAGGTTCCTTTTATGGGAATAGGCCACAAGCCACAAGACATGCAAATAGATACTATTTGCATATGTAATCTTGCCAGAGACCCCTTCTGCTAGATCCCCAATTGTCTTTCTGCAATTTCCTACCTCAGACTGTAAAAAACAAACATTGAAGCCTCTTAAATTCTGAAACTTCTGTTTGTTTTATCTCTGTATCTGCTATTCATGATCCTGATGGGTTGTGATGTTTTTCCAATGTTTCTCTAATGATTTCTCAGTGTTTCTATGCCTCTACATGGTTCTTGCATTATCACCCATCCAGAAACTCATTCTTCTCCCTACTATTTGGATGTGACCCCAATCTTATAAAACACACTCTGTCCATGCTCTGTTCTGTGTAGACTGCTACCCTTCAGTGCTGTTGCAATTTACAGATTTCTGTTGCTGCAAATAAGCTGTTGAGTGCTTGATTGTATGCTTCCACTGAATCTGGGTATTCATTCCAAGCCAGTCTGAAATCCTAACACAACTCTGATCCAGACTCTCTGGAAACTGTTCAGACGCATGTTTAGACAGGAAAAAAGTCCGACAGTTCCCACCCTCCCATGTCTTTTCTGCCTAAATATGCAGAGGATTGTGCCTTAACCTAGGTGAGAGCTCTGTTGCTGCCTTCAGTCAAGATCTTTTCAGCCACAAAAATGCAGGACAAGAGACATCTGAGCATGAAAAGAGTGCCTTTCTACCATAAATAACTACATCCAGGAGGTGCCTATCTGGGCAAAGTTTTCAAAGCACACACCTTAAACTAGGAATAGGCATAAGGTAGATCTCTGGATGTTTTGAATTTCAACTTCCAGAAGACCCGGGCAGCGTGGCCAATGCTCAGGAATACTGGGAGTGGGGAGTCGAAAACACCTGGAGGTCCATTTTCTCCCAATCCTCCTTTATACAATATATAAACAAAGCCAGAGCGTGAGAAACAATAATTAACAACAAAGTTTCTCATGTGCGCAGGCAGAGTGCCTTCCTCATAGCCACCATGGCAACAATGTCTTCCACCAATATATGCCCTGCTTCCTGCAAAGAACTTGCGGGCGCTTACATAATCTTTCTCCTCTTTTTCATTTCATTCTCACAACAACCCTGCGAGGTGGATTAGGCTGAAAGTCATCAATTAGCCGAAAGACACTCCATAGGTTTCATGGCTGAGTGAGGAACTCGAACACGAATCTCCTGAGCGCCATTCCAAAGCTCCAGCCGCTACAACACTCTGGCTTTCATTTTATAGAGAGCCAGTGTGGTGTGATGGTTAAAAGTGCTGGACCAGGACTCCAGACATCCGGGTTCCCATGCCTACCGGAAGAAATCTGGCTTCCAACCCACCTCACCGGAGTGTTGTGAGGATAAAAATGGAGTGGAGGAGAATTATGTGAGCCGTCTTGTGTTCCTTGCAAGACAAAAAGTATAAATAGCATAGTCATAATATAAATGCAAAGCAATAGCAATGTTATATATCTAACATAACAATCTCTACAATAGTTTGACACTGCGTATACATGGTCAGATTGCTGCGCAAGACCCGAAGTTTTACGAGAGGGTTTTTGGGAAAGGAGGAGATGCTTGAACTGGAACCGCAGGCATGTTTTCTCCCGTGTCAGCGAAGCCCCAGCGCGCAAAGCACCTCACCCGTTACCATCACAAGTGACAGCGAGAAATATTTTGGAGCCGGGCGGGAGGAGGAGCAGGAGGAGCAGCCGCGGATCGGTGCCTACTTACAGCGGACAACCACCAGCAGCGAGACGGCGAGCCAAGGCCCCAGCGCCAGCGGCAGAGCGCCGGACGCCTTCATGCTGCTCCCTCGGATGGGCTGGGTTGCGCCGCGTCCTGCTCGACCAGCTCCTCCCGGGCGGCTCTGCGCGCGGCTGCTCGCAGGGATTAGCCCGAGTCAGCGCATGACTCAGTCCGCCGAAGCGCGCCGCCCGCCCCTCCTTTCCCCGCGGCTCGGCCGCCACGTGCTGCAGCCGGCGGGCCAATGGCGGGCCGCGGCGGGAACGGGCGTGAATGGCAGGCGAGCGGCCGGGCGGGCGGGCTCGCTGTGCGGGGGCTGCGCCGCCGGCGCTCCGCGGACGGTACTTCCTGGCGCGGGCCCAGTGCTTCGCTCCAAAAAGTTGCGGGGCTCGGGACCGCAGGACCCGTTTTTTTAAAGCATGTGCTACGTGATGCACCGAACTATCTTTCTCCGCCTGTGCGCCTTTATCTCCTCGGGACCCTCCTTTTTGTAAAGAGGGCACGTGGGAACAGGCAGAGTCGCATTTGCTTTCAGGATTAGCAAAACTCCGAAAGATTCGAGACGAGGCAAGAGGAGGTGGAGCCCCTGTGAGCAGAAAGCCAGCTCATCTGAGGGATCAGGTGCGAAAGAGATCACCAAAGCTCCTAGGCCCATAGACAGCAAGGTTGTGGGGCAGGTTGTTTTCCAGAAATATGGGTCACCAGCTCCAGCAGTCTCCTATAACACCAGCGTTGCTCATGCAGTTACCACGGTGTTGCAATTAGTACGTTGTATTAGTGGGATGGTCCCAGTTCAGTGCCCCACTACCCTCTTGGCTTCTAACTGCACCAGGAGCCCTTCTAAGAGAAAGCACTATCAAAAGGAGTGCTTTCTTTTGTAAAGGAGGACACCTGGCCACCCTACAATCCCCAACAGATATGGGCAGACACACCCTTTGCACATGAAGGACTGACTGCAGGAAGAATGCATCTCGTGCTGAAGCATAGAAGAAGAGTGTGTGGGGGGGCATGCATTGCTTAATTGCTATGATGGGTTGGTGGTTTAGGGGAGTACCGTATTCCATCATACAAGGAAGGTTAACCTTCCATCCTAGAGTACAATCCCCTTTGAAAATTGCTCTCTGCATCACAATTTAAAAAAGAAGGCAATCTTTCATTGACGCCAATGGATCCTTAGGGCTCTGTGGAATAGATTCAGGACCTCGGGAAACAAAGTACCATGCCTAGCAGTTCCCATAACCTTGTAAACTCACTGACTTCCTCATAATTAACTCCACAGGCTATGCTGTGTGCCAAATTTGGAGCCAGTCTCTAGCTTGGATGTTGTTAGAGTACTCCTGCACTGCTTATATAGGCAAGCAGCAGGATTAAGCAGAGGCACCTCCTCCATTGCGTCTCTGCGTGAGTCAAGGCTGGCCTGCTTTCAACAAGAAAGCCAGCCACAAGTAATTAGCCATGTGGAAACATAGGGGTGTGTTCCTTCTGAGGATAGGTTGTCTGTAATCTCACACAAGATAAAAGGAAACCTGTGGAGATATAAAAGCAAAGGGTGCCCGTTTATTTATATATTTATTGTTGTTATTTTAGATGTTCATGAAAAACTTCTAGAGGAGAAGTGGGTCATGGGTATGGAAATTCCCCTTGGGTGGGAAAGTAAAATTAAAAGGCAAGCAAAGAAGCTGCACGCACTGCTAATTGCTAGTGACGGGGGATTTTTCCGGAAGCTGGCAAACTCTGCTTGTGATATGCCTGGTCTACAATGGGCCTCAACCCAAAATGACACCACACCCTAGAGAACACAAATGGCCACATCTCTAGCTCTTCACATTGTAGAATGAATAGCAAAGGGTTTTTTTTCTTTAAGGCTTCAAAACAAACAGAGTAACACAAGACAGCTTCATGCGTATTTATTGAATTATAGTTCTTGAAAGTACACTATAGCTATTGTTTATATTGTTGTACTGGTGTTGGCAACTAGAGTAACTAGGCTGTGCAGAAAATCAAACAAAACACAGGTTCTATCTTAAAGCTGACCATCCAGGCCCCAAGCCTGCTACAGTTACCTAGATTTGGGTCTAAGTGATAAAGAACAGGGAGAAGTTTGTCAGAATCTCAAGGGTGATGACACTTCCCCTGGTGGCCTTGATAGAGAAGGCAGAATGATCTATCTTAGAAATACTTGCAGGATTTGCCTCAGGTAATTAAGGATTAGGACTAGTGCAATCATGCAGACCAGCTGGGAGTAATAGGAGACTCAAGAAAAGTCTTCTCAGCCCTTTACAACTTTTATGATATTATCAAATTGTCACACTACCATTACACTAGTACTGCTCAATGCTTAGAACAAAAATTCTTCATACAAAGGATTAATTTGTTGTATTTAATACTGTACTTCTCTACTTCACAGACATTATTGTAGCTGATGTAGGGACTCATGGAGATCTTGTTATGCTAGCATAAAAGACTTCTAAATCAGTGGTGAAGGTTGGGAAAATCCAAATAAATCTTTATAGAGAAAGGTTGCTTATGGGTACCTTTGTGATATAGAGTCAAGTGTCCTTGTTCTTCTTGCCCAGAGACCTCCAGAATTACAAGCCAGGCTCCTTTTACCTGAAGCTAAGAGACTCGGACTCTCCACTGGCTTGAGGGGGTTGCTTCTGCCTTACTCATTATTTGAAACTTCACATCCAGTTAGCTGCTGGCCTGCTGAGAACAGCCCTGACTAGAGTTTCCTGTACTTTTGAAATCACCTGTCCTTGCATGTCAAAACCCACACCCAAGACCTGATTGCCATGCCAAAATCCTGTAATCATGAATATTTGCCCCTCTGCTGATCTCTCACTTCGTGGACCCATATTCTCTCACCATTTATTCTATTCCTGTGTACATGACTAGAAGCCAATAAAGCACTCTGTATATGCTCTAGAAACTTGTAGTTGGGTGTGCACCTCTACCCGGCAGCTCTGTTGCAGGTTTGTCCTCTGCAGAGGGCTACAAGGGTCATTCTCACCAATAAAATTGCTGTGCTTCAAGGCAACCAGGTCTTCCCTATGGATCTGAGTGTTCCTTCTCATGGCTGATAATTGGGACGTCCTGACATGAAGCATCCAGCCCTCCTCCATTTTTGCTCCAACTCTCTGGGGTTTCTGGGATGACCACACTCCATCTCTCTGGTTCAGTTCTTTTTCCTCAGCTGTTGATCATCTGATACTCCCTGGATTTTGTATTCCTTGCTCTCCATTCTAAAAGGTTGTGATACCTTTCCTAAATACTGCCCGGAAGAGTTTTAAGGTAGAATATTCGGGTGTCACACCCCACACTTTTGGCCTCACTCATGCCTGCAATGCACTCTCATCCCATCTCTGAAACAGAATTTGGCCCTTTGGCCAAGGTGGTTCATCACCTTTGTCTTACAACAGCACGAGCTATTCAAGGTCTCAGGATGTCATGATAACAAGCAGAGCCATGCAGAAGGCAGTGTGCCTGCAAATGCCAAATACTAGGGACAAACAACAGGGTGGAGTTGAGTGTGTGTGTTTTCTGAAAGTATCTGTCTGGCTACTGGGCCCAAGTCCCTCACAACCAGTAAAGGGCTTATAAGCTCACCTATTCGTTTCCTTTATCCTTCCCATTGCTATCATTGCAGATTTGCTTGTGTTTGGTGACATATTGTTCTGTTAGCCAGCTTGCACTCAGCCAGGCTTCTTCATGCATGAGACAAAGATGTAGACAATGGTTTGTGTTTGCCAGGATAAATGGAGCAAGATAAGAAAAGAGGGCTCCTTTCTCAATATCCCTTCTGGCTTCATGACATCACCCTGTTTGTTGCAAGGCTTATTCTATCTGGAAAGATTCTGTATTGAACCCACCCTCCACAAGAATGGAAATCCAAGGACCAATTAGAATTCACAACAGGATAAAATACTAACTATTCCAGTGTTTATTGTTCTAAATCATTGTGGCTATTACATTATCGTAGAACAAACAAAACGGAGGTCCTTTTGATGGGCAGTTCGTGCTTTCAGGTAAGTGGTTTTGGTCCTGTCCTGGACGGGGTTGCACTCTCTCTAAAGGACAGGGTCCGCAGCCTAGGAGTGCTCCTCAACCCAGAGCTGTCCCTGGAGGTCCAGGTGCTGGCAGTGGCGAGGAGCCCTTTCCTCCAGCTTCAGCTGGTCCATCAGCTGCATCCTTACCTGGATGAGCAGTGCCTGGTAATGGTGATCCATGCTCTGGTGACTTCCCGTTTGGACTATTGCAACACGCTCTACATGGGACTGCCCTTGAAGACAATCTGGATACTTCAATTGGTACAAAATAGAGCTGTCAGGCTGCTGACAGGGGCCACTCCTCTACCAGCTACACTGGCTCCCGATTGAAGTCCAGGCCCAATTCAAGGTGCTGGTATTAACCTATAAAGCCCTAAATGGCTTGGGACTAGGACACCTGAAGGAACGTCACCTTCCTTATATGCTCTCACTCCCCTTAAGATCTACAGGAGAGGTCCTGCTCCGGGAACACTTATCTGAAGGAGGTAAAGAAGATGTCTACCCAGAGGAGGGCCTTCTCTGTGGTGGCACCCAGACTGTGGAATGGGCTCCCCAGAGAGGTTTGCCTGGCACCGAGCTTATTCTTTTCGGTGCCAGGTGAAAACCTTTTTATTTAACCATCATTTTAAGAATTAGGGATTTTAGATGTTTAAGGTAACAGTCACATTTTTATTTAGTTTCTTTATGAATGTGATTTATTCATTTTTTGCTATTTAAGTTTTGTAAGCCATCCTGAGATGTTTTATCATGAAGGACAGGATAAAAATGTTTTGAATAAATAAAAAATAGATCGTATTACCAACATTAAAAAAGCCGCTTATGTGCAGTATGCTTGGCAGGCACAGGTCCTGCCTTTTCTCTAAGGAGCTCAAGCCATTATATGTAGTCCTCCCACCTCCCTTAACTAGCCCTGCAACAACTCTGTGAGGTTGTTTTTGTCTCAGAGGTAGTGTCATGCCCAGGTTTACCCAGACAACTTCATGAATTTGAATCTGAGTCTCTGAAGTCCTAGTCTAACCACTTCATCCCACTCAGCAGCATGGGCTTGGAACAAACTGGTGCATGGCATATCACTTGCCTCCAACTGATCGCCTAT